AAAATGTCCCCCTCGGGAGTTTGACCAACCTGGAGTTTGACTGCTCACTATGAAGTGTGCTGACCACCAGGGGGCGGCGTGGCAGCCAGCAACCTCTAGGGACCCTACCTGTGCACAAATTTCGTGCACTGGGCCTCTAGTAACTACAATAACAACAACTTAAACTCATTTTAAATAAGGCAACATAGGAAACATTACACAGCAGCTATGGTTCCATAGCACATGTTTCTCAACGGGCAGGAATAACAAGTTTCCTTTTTCTTGCCAGAAGTGTGAGCTCCTGGGTCAGCCACTCTGGCTACCAATGGAGTATTTGCCCCTTGTCCATTGGCAAATGTGGCCATATCTAAAAAGGCTTTGAAGAGGAAGCTCTTGTGAGGGCTGTATCAATTTCAAGCACATTTGATATCTCATGGGTTTAGGAGTCTGAGGTTGGCTTTAATGCCCAAGTAATCATAAGCTCTTATTGTTGGCCAGGCATGAGTTCTCTGGAAATACACCCATCTTTAAAAAAAAATTTTTTTTCAATCATATTTCCATTTGCTTAACTCCTGGGTCAAGTAACCAGGGATTAGTCAGTCTTTAACTCCACAATCCTGAGAATGTCTTTCTCTAAAAATAGGATGGGGCTCTGCCGGTCCCTCAGTCCTAAGTTGAACTTGGGTTCTGCCTCCTTGTTCTATCACATGCCGTGAGGGCTAAGCTTTGTCCTCTTTAGACTCAGCTTTCACAGGGACCCATCTCAACTGAAGCTCTCCTACTTCTTACTGAAATTTGACTTAAGGTTGGATGACAAAAAAAAAAAAAAAAAAGAAAAAAAAACCAAAAAAAAAAAAAAAAAAAAAAAAGGCAAATAAACGCAAGAAGTAAATACAAAAAAAACAGGTCAAGAGTCCAGCCCAGAAGAAATAGAGTAGTTTTCTCTCTTTTGATTCCACCTTTATCCCAGGGAAGAGGGCATTATTAAAAGGAGATTGCCTAACCCCGTGGTCGGCAAACCTCGGCTCGAGAGCCACACGCGGCTCTTTGGCCCCTTGAGTGTGGCTCTTCCACAAAATACCACGTGCGGGCGCGCACGTACAGTGCAATTGAAACTTCGTGGCCCATGCGCAGAAGTCGGTATTTTGTGGAAGAGCCACACTCAAGGGGCCAAAGAGCCGCATGTGGCTCGCGAGCCGCGGTTTGCTGAGCCGCAGTTTGCCAACCACTGGCCTAACCATGTGGGTGGAGGAAATGGCCTGCAGTGAGGCTATGATAAGCTTCTCAGATAGTGAAAGAAAGAGGGGCTTTGGTGTCAGGGTGACCTGGCTTAGACCCCTGGGCCTCACCCACTACCCGGGCAAGTCCCCTCCTAGCGCCTCCTAGTCACTGAGCCTCAGGTATATCATCTACCCGTCCCAGGATTGTTGCAAGGATTAACTGATTTGTGGTGTCAAAAAGAACCTGTCAACTTTCATGACAAACAGTGGGCACCAATTCATCTGTTTGACACTTGGCCCCAAGTTGCCCCATGAAGAATCTGTCTGTTAGAAAAGAGAGTGCACTCAAGTTTGTCAAATATTTAGAAATTTTTCCTACCCAGCACTGACCATTCAAAGCAAAGACGAGGGGTCAAACCTGAGAGCTTAATGGGGCCTCTGAGAAGACGCAGACGTCTACTTTAGGACCTAAAGGTGCCCGTTTCATTATTCATCATTTCTCATAGCCTCTCTCTCAGGCCACCATTTTGAAGTCCTGTTTCATACTTACAATTCTTCTACTTTTTGCTCAGCCACATTCCATGAATGTAACACGAGTGGCCTGTGAAACAAGCTGCCTCGACTGAGACCAGCCAGCGGCAGCATGTGGACGAAAGTAGGAGGATGGGGGAGGGGGAGGGAAAGAGTGGATGCCTGACTTTGAAGGCTGGTATGAGGAATGTTTGGCCAGTGTGGGAGTTTTATGCATAAGAGAGGGGAACTTTGTGATTCGATTTCTAGGAATTTAAGCTACGGGAAGACATAAAAAAGTACACAGAGTTGTTCACCCAGGATATCCGTGACAGCACTGCTTGTAAAAACATTGGAGGCCACCTAACTGGTGGGATTTAGGATGATTTTTTTGTTTGTTTTTGGTTAAGTTTATATGATTTTCTCTGTTTTCCGAAGCATTTGAAATGAGTATATGTGGCTTTTACAAAACCCAGCAAATTAATGTCCATTTTGACTTTTTAAAAGCGAGCTTTCGGTGAGATTGAGAAACTTCTTGAAAGATTTTACTTCTTTCTTTTCAAGAAAGTTGTCTGGAAGAATCATTGTCTGGAAGTATCCCTACCATTTAGCATTTAGCATAACATGTTGGCAGATTTTAAAGTAAAAAAAAGCAGCACTCTGCCTGGTACCTTGGTGCACACATATCGGACAATTGCAGTGAGTTATCGGTACAGGCCACAGCGCTCAGGTGAGACAGTGCGGGTCCTCCCCCACCAAAGGGCATTGGTGAGATGGCGAGATCCGGCCTGGAGGCCACCCTGTGGGGAGGCGGGATGGACACAGAGCTGTCATGGAGAGTTGACTGAAGAGAGGAAGTCCCACTTCCCAGGGCTGCAGAGTTCCATCGGGGAAGTGAAGGGTTGCGAGTCTCTCCAGGGGCCCCGCAGGGCATTCAAAGTGGAGGACAAAGCTGCCCCAGGGTTTTTTTCTAGGACAGAAATACGTGCCTGATTCCACTGTTCTCACCTTGAGGTCTAAGACACAAGACGGTGGTTGGTAGTGGCAGCTGTGGCCACTATGGTGGTAGGATGACCAACTCTCTTGGTTTGCCTGGGACTTCCCCGTTCTAGTGGCGCAAGTCCCACATTGAACCCCAGGAACCCCTCAGTCCCAGGCAAAACCAGATGGATGGTTGCTCTCCTTATATGGTGGGCACATCAGCAGTGATCAGGGGAGGTACCAGGATGGGCAGCAAAAGATTGTGGAGGCCATGGCAACCAAACGAGAGAAGATGGCAGTTGCCATAGTGACAGGGATGGGGTCTATTAGAAGAGATGTGAGGATACAGTGATGCCATTGGCAACATGGAGCTGGGCTCCAAGTTATAAGCGGTGCTGACAGCTCCAGCAAGAAGGAAGGGGTTTCCAGTTTCCCACTCTTGTCACCAGGAGATCGAAGGCATTGGGATGGAGGTGGAGGGCTGGTACTGGTGGCTAGGATTCCAGAAACTGCATTCACAGAGGCCACGTATTCTTATCATTCTTATCTGCCTGTGTCTCTCCAGTTGTCCTCCCCCACACTTGGAACTGGAGAGCATTAGCTGGTTCTTTGCAGACTTTATCTGGTTTGACTGGTCTTTTAGGGGCTAGAGTTACCTTTAGGTCATATACACATTATCACTTATCTTTCTTGTTCATGGCCCTCTGTAACAAAACAAACAAAAAATCCCTAGCATTTAAAAAAGTCCCTCCCTCCCCCCACTCCCTTCCTCCCTTTCTTCCTTTCTCTCCCTCTCCCTCTCCCTCTCCCTCTCTCTTTCTTTCTGTTGCCAGGCAATGGAGTACACCTTAGAGAATAATTCACTGAGGCGTTTTGCCAATGGGGAAAAGTCAAGGGTTGGTAACTGCTCCAAAGTAAACATTGAAAACTAGCACTTGGGTAGAAAACAAATCCACAGGCTCTTTGCTGGTTAAAACTAGATCCCTGGTTCACTGGTGGGGAAACAGGTTCTAGTTAGATGCTCTGAGGGCCTCGCATACCTGGGGCACTCGAAGTTCATGGTCTTAACCAACGGCAGTGGCCGAGAACAGGTTTCGCAATGTTCGGTTTTGCTGTCTCCCAGGCAAGTGGCTCTAAGTGGGAATTTCTCTGAGTAGAAAGGTCTCCTGTAGCCAGGCTTTGCTTCCTCCGCTCTCCATGTTAGCCCCTGCTGCAGCCACTATTCCCTGGGCCTTGCTGCAGCAAATAGTACTTCCCTCAGCATTTCCGAGTTGAGATGGAGTCTTGATCACCATTTCCTCCCTCTTTTTATTTGGTTAATAACATCACATAGGTTTCAAGTGTAGATTTCTATGATCTGTATATTGTTGCATTGTGTGCCCACTACCCGAAGTCAAACCACCTTCCATCACTATATATTTGCCCCCCCCCACATTGATTGCCATTTCTGTTTTTTCTCCCTCCCTCTTCCTTCCTTCCTTCCTTCCCTCCTTCCTTCCCTCCCTCCCCCCTCTCCTTCCCTCCCCACCGTTTTCCCCTAATGAGGGCAGCTCTGTAATCTCCATCAGCTCACCACCATCTCTTCAGTTCCTTCTATTCCTTTACAGCCCAGCCCCCGCAGCTAAAGCTGTCCTCACAGCCAGTGTGTGGCTTGGGGCTCTCTCATGGAGGCATAGCCTTGCTCCTCAGATCTTTGTTTCTTTAGATCCACAAGAGTATAACATGCCTGGCCAGGGTGGCTCAGTGGTTGAGCACTGACCTAGGAACCAGGAGATCAACAATTCGGTTCAGGTCAGGGCACATGCCTGAGTTGCAGGCTTGGTCCCCGGGGGTGGGGGTGGTGGTGTGTGAGTGCAAGAGGCAGCCAATCAATGATTCTCTCTCATCATTGATGTTTCTATCTATCTCTTCCTTTCCCTTCCTCTCTGAAATCAATAAAACATATTTTTTTAAAAAGAGTATAACATACTAGCACATCTGCATTTTTCTATGATTCAGCGTCCCTGGCTCCACATTCACAAAATTTCGAATGCTCTGGAGGGACGGGATGTTCGCTACAACATTGGCCACAGTGACAATGCTTCAATGTACTTTTCATTATATAGTCATGAACAGAGGCAAGCGGCCGGCTGAAGTGGTTGGGAGTGGAATGTTTGGGCCATGGGGCATGGTGTCGGGAAGGCTCCCCACGTGTCTGTACTCATACTTGTTTTCTCCTTTTCAGTTTCTACCTTTGAAAGTATGCCGTTCTTTTTCCTTTTTTTTTTTTTTTAAACACTGGCATGGAACAAATAGAACTTTGACTGGTTTCACAATTTATATGGCTGATTTCATAAACGACCATGTTTCACATTACATAATGTTCTCACAGTTTACAAGTAATTTTTTTTTTCATCTTTAGGGCATAGGGCTTTCACGTTGGTATGCTTGGAGGGGCAAAGAGTAAAATACTGGAGGGGAATCTGATGTAAGGGGCTATGCACTTTCCTGGTACAAACCACACACCTCCTCCCCTGCGCCCACAGTTTATGTTGAATGGCCGGTCCAGGCAGCCTGTGGTGAGGCTTCTCCCAACAGGGATGCTGCCCGTGGGTTCACTGTGGTGTGAGGGTCTTGTGACAGATTTTTGGCCCCTTTTGCTCATCTTGGGCTTCTGCTGCCTCAGCCCCGTTCAACCATCATGGTACTTTCCTTCGTTCAAGGTTTACTTTATGATTTGATTTTTGCTAGAGACCCTTGGATATCAGGAGCTTCGACTGCCTAAGGAATGCGTGTTGTTGTAAGTACCATGCTTTTCTCATGTTAACTTTAGACATAGATTTGTGTTGTAAGGTTTCCTGTCAACAGAACAACAAACAGAATAATCTCTAAACCACACGATCCAACAGCAAGATAGGTCATTGTTCTAAACACCATCAAAGGCGGCCATAAAATTGGTACCTATTTTGAAGATAATATCAAATATTTACTAAACTAATATCAACTAATTATACAGTAATTAAACAAGCCAGGAACAAATATTCCTTCCCCCAGGATAATAACATGAAGTAAGCTTACAATGCTTTTTGTCAGATGGCCTCAGGGTTTCCTAAATGGGAATATGTTAAACTTTGTTATATATTTGAGAATTAAGAAAAGTCATTTCTCTGTATAGCCTGATTGTCTAACTGAGTTTATATTTTCTTATTTTTAACTTCTGTCTTTGTGTCTTAAAATTGTTCCTACAGCCCTACCAGTTTGGCTCAGTGGATAGAGCGTCGGCCTGTGGGCTGAAAGGTCCCAGGTTCGATTCCGGTCAAGGGCATGTACCTTGGTTGCAGGCACATCCCCAGTAGGAGGTGTGCAGGAGGCAGCTGATCGATGTTTCTCTCTCATCGATGTTTCTAACTCTCTATCTCTCTCCCTTCCTCTCTGTAAAAAATCAATAAAATATATTTTAAAAAAATTGTTCCTACAAAAAATCACACCACTGGGTTCAAGGCAAAGTTATGACGTAGGTGAAGTTTGAATTCAGTTGCTTCTACCTCCTCAGCTTTCTTTTCCTTGTTCCTGCTACTACTTAACCCCCTTATGTAGCCTAAGCGGGGCCCCATTCAGGCTTTGTCTGAAGAACACCATAGAACAGGGGTCCTCAAACTTTTTAAACAGGGGGCCAGTTCACTGTCCCTCAGACCGTTGGAGGGCCGGACTATAGTTAAAAAAAAAAACAACTATGAACAAATTCCTATGCACACTGCACATATCTTATTTTGAAGTAAAAAAACAAAACGGGAACAAATACAATATTTGTATTTGCATGTGGCCCGCGGGCCGTAGTTTGAGGACCCCTGCCATAGAAAAAGAGTAAACCCCATTACGATTCCAAGGAAAATGGCAAGAAAACACCAAATCAAAGAGCATAAGGAGAATATGAACAGGTACAAGCTAAGTGTACTGCTTAAGAAACAAGAATTCGAGAGAAAAGCTCAAAGATTCTACAAAAAGAAGAAAATAAAAGTGTTCAAAATATTGAGCAAAAAGACTAAAAAGGGCCAACCAAACTTGAATTTACAAATGAAGAACCTTCTTAAAACATATTTAAAAAAAAATCAGACATTTTGTGCTTAATCAAGGGTTAAACACCTGCTGTCTGTTGAGTTCTTTGGCATATGTAATGCATGTCCCCACAACTAAAGTTGTAAGTGTAAACTGGATCACTAAGCTATACTAAATATAAAACACCCAAATATTTTTGCTCTTGTAAAAGACAATTTTCTACATATGCTCTACACAATATGACGTGTCTCTCATTTATTTGCCTCTGAAGGAGGTTGGCCTGAGAATGGAAAGAACCTTCTACTAGTACCTAGGTGACAGGTTCAAGTGGGTAAAACTTTTGTACCACATGAAATTCAGGTGGAAGAAAATGTTTTGAAACTTTAAAAGAAGCAGGACACGAAATTATATATTTTATATGACTCCATCTCTCTAACACACACACACACACACACACACACACACACACACACACCATACCCACGAGAGAACATATTGGTTAAGAAAGATATCTATTACCACCAATAGATGATTATTTATTATATATACCAGTGGCCCAGTGCACGAAATTTGCACACTTGGCGGGAGTGGGTCCCCCCGCCCCCCCCAACCTGGCCTGTGCCTGTCACAGTGCGGGAGCTCCGCGATCCATCGCTCTAAAGAGGTAGGCCCTGCCCACCCATCCGGGGCTCCTTAATGGATTGTCCCAAAGAGGTAGGCCGGAGCCAGGGGAGGCCTGCAGACCTCCAGTGCAGGCACGTGGAGAGGCCTCTGCTGCGCCTTGCCCCGTCCCGATGCTGTAAGTCCCCGCCCACCCGCGCCTGCTGCGCACGCAGCCTCCAGCTGATCGATCATTACACGTGAGGGCGTCCCGACCTTTTATTAGTATAGATTATTCTGCATTTTCCAAGCCTCCACTAGTAAGCATACATTCCTTTAAAAAAAATAAAAAAGAAGTTAAGGTACTAACAAATTCTAAGTTCTTGTTTCCCCCCCCCAGGACAGTTCCAACTATGGCCATTATCAGACCCCAAGGGACATCTGGCCTACCTCCTTCTAAATAATTGTTCTTATTAAAGTAGGACTAAGATGTGAAGATATGGTAAAGTAAGATAGCTCAGCAGAGGGTACATGCCACACAACATATAAAACTGCTGCACCTTTAAATGCAAATGCCACCTCCTTCTCCTGCCTCCTCAGGCCCAGTCCACAGTGGTTGAATCACACAGCTGTGGTGGCATCCATCTGCCCTTTCCTAAGGGCTTCTGAGTGGCAACACGCCTCTCTCTTTGACATTGTGTTCTTTTTTCCTCCCTCCTCCTGACTTTATCTCACAGGGACATTGGGAAGAGAATAAAATTGAATTACGTAGAACATTCTCAGCTCCTCTGAGGGTGAGTGGAATCTGAACAGAAATAAGAAATTATCTAGGTGTCTGTTGCCCCTCCTTCTGCTTTATATACCTGTCATTCAACAAGACTTAGTTCATTCTCTCCATTTTTTTTCTCCCAAATGCTGGTGAAAGAAAATTTGTCTATAAAGGTTCCTAGTTGACTACCTAACCTTTTCTCTTAAACATTTATTATATGGCCTACTTTGTAAGCTTAGTTTTAGGTTTAGTGATATCAAGATTATCTTTTGTACCAGTACATTTTGTTTTATTAGGTTCTGAACAGAGAACAGAATTTTCTAAATAACAATTCCATTTAACACCAACAAGAATACTTATGTGTTTATATTAATAAAATATAAATATCTGGGACCAAATTTGTTTACTGAACCAATCATTTGGAATTGCCTTTAGGAGTTAAACAAATATGGTTTAATGTATTTTTAAACTAGGGCTGATTTTTAGAAGTGTTTACACTTAAACTATATGGAAATTATAGTCATAGAGCCAATGAATAGAATTCTACCTATGAAGCCATTATAAATTCATTGTCGTTACTTGTAAGCACATGCCTTATTTCAACATACAAGATATGACATGATCTGAGTGTCTTGCTCTCCATTTCTCATTCGCTGAAAATAATTCAGGAACCCAAACCAACAGTAATGGAAACAGAGAAAACAAATAAAACACAGGACAATCTATAATAATAAAAGCATAATATGCTAATTAGACCAGACTTCCTTCCAGACGTCCTTCCGGCTGGGGCTCGAGGGAAGCCCAGGTCCCGGGTGCCTGCTGGCAGCCAGAGGGAAGCCCGGGTTTCAGAGGGAAACTGGTGCCGGCAGCTGGGGGAGGAAGGCCTTTAGTGTTTATATAAAGAACAAAGGTTAACACATGACTCCAGGTCACTTTTTATTTACTTTGTTGATATTTATCTTAGTTAATAAAGAAAATGATTAGTTTGATTCTTTCAACATTTATTTATTCAACAAACCATGGACTCTGGAAATGAATGGGCAATGCTAGAATCCTGGTTCTATCTCTTAATAAATGTGAAACCTTAGGCCAGTTATTTATTTAACTTTGCTATGCCTCATTTTCCTAATCTATAAAATGAGGTATAGAGAAGTTAATCCTAACTTGTAGGATTGTTGGAAGGGTTAAGTGAACAAATGTACACAAGAAGCTTAGAACAGTCCCTGGCATAGAGTACTCAATCAATTCTAGGTGTACTGGAATACAACAGGGAGCAAGTCAAGAGTCCCTCCTCTCATGGAGTCTACACTCTAGTGGCAGTGTGGATGGGGTAGGTAGCAAAAGACATCACACAAATGACACAGCTAATAGCACCTTTACAATTGTGTTGAGTGTAATGAAGGAAAAATATAGGGCACTAAAGATCACTCTGTAAGCTGCTTTTCTAATGAACCTCAGACGTTAAGCCTTTATGATTTAGATCAGCTGTTTTCAATCGGTGTGCCCTGGCACACTGATGTGCCACAAGAATTTTCAAAACATGCAATGCCTGACTATTTAGTCAGGGGCACTAACCTCTTTTCTCTTAGATTGTCAAATTAAAAAAAAATGACAACTTCCAACACAGCAACAGCTGTCCGGTGTGAAGGAATCCAAAGTATACCTATTTTTTTTTTGTCAGATTGGCAAAAAAATATATATTTTTGGTGTATCATAGAATTTTAGTAATTAGTTTCTGTGTGCCATGAGATGAAATAGGTTGAAAATTACTGACTTAGAATCTTGATATCACACGTTGGTAAAATCAAGAACATCTGAAATTTACACTACTATTTATCCACCCATTATATGTAGTGTGATTTAAAAAAATCAAACTTAAAAGTTGAGAACTTTTAATTTAAAGATGACAGCATATTATGTATATCGAGGTGTTTAAAGATAAATCTTAGCATCTGAGGGGAGAAAAAATTCATTCAATCCATTTGACTTAAAAGACAAACTAGTCCATGACTTATTACATATTTTACTTTTCAACTATATTGTTCTTTAAAGACACATAATTTTTCAATAGTCTTAGAAAGGCAGGCTAGTGTAGTGATTTATGTTCCTACGTTTTGAAATCGGAAGACTAAGGATCTAGTTCTGACATTTGGTTAGCTTTTAAGCGTTAGGCAAGTTCTTCCACCTCTTTAGCACCAGATTTTTCATATTTAAAATGGGAACAACAAAGTTTACATCACGAGAATGTTAAGATCAAGTGATAGTCTGGCAACCATCTAGCAGCCTCTAGCACATAGCAGTCACTGAAAAAAGGGGAGCAGGTACCTTGCCAGCCTGGTTCAGGAGGTTCAATTCCCGGTCAGGGCACACGCTCAGGTTCTGTCTTGATCCCCAGTTGGGGGTGTGCAGGAGGCAGCCAATGATTCTCTCTCATTATTGGTGTTTTTTTTTTTTAATCTCTCTTCCTTCCTCTCTGAAATTAATAAAAGTATAGATTTTAAAAAAAGGGAACTGCTTATTCAAAGGGGACCCTAAAAGGCTGACCTTTCTTGCTATGATTTTAGACTATTAAGACCATCAAGACACCTACCCGGTTTGGCTCAGTGGATAGAGAGTGGGCCCAAGGACTGAAGGGTTCCATGGATGTTTCTCTCTTTGTCTCTCTGCCTCCTTTCCACTCTCTTGATAAAAATCAATAGAAAAATATTCTCGGGTGAGAATTAACAACAACAACAACAAATAAAAGTAAATAAAGACCATGAAGAAATTGTCAATGTTTCATTTTTCTATTTTTCAGAATGGTACGTTTTTCTGTGCATAGTTTGTCTTGAAGAAAAAGTAATGTAACATCTGAAAGTAAGATTACTAGGGGAGCCTGATTGCAGAATCAATGTCGGCATTTATTCCAAATTCTCATCAATCCTTCAGTTGCAAGTAGTACTAACATTAGGGTATGTATGTCAAAAACTCATTTTGCATGGGGGAATTCACCACAGGATTTCTTAAACGCGGAGAGCCTGTTTACAGAGTTCAAAGCTCCACCCAGCAGGGCCTCCCCAAAACTGGCAGGCCACCAGCAGCCGCGTCCCAGGGCGGCCTGCAAGATGCTGATAACCAGAGGTGACCCAGGTCCGGGTAGGCGAGGGTCCGCTCAGGGCTCACTAATCCGGGGGTTTGGCGGCCGGAGGGGTGTGGCTCCCCTGTTTTTCACACCGCTCCCCAGCCTGACCCAGTCCTGGGGTCGCGCCAGGCTCCAGAAACCCCTATTCCTCACCCCGCTGCTCCCGCCCCTATTTGGCTGCCTGGCCAATCAGGAGGAGGCTCTCCCGAGGGGCGGGACGAGGGGCGGAGCTGATTGGCCGAATCTGAAGTCTCGCACTTCAGCTCCGGGCAGTAGCCGCGTTGGCTGCAGAAGGTGGCGTGAGCCGAGGCCTCCTGCAACGTTTTGCAACCCAAGCCTGTCGCCATGGGGGACTCCCGGGACCCAGCCAGCGACCAGATGAAGCATTGGAAGGAACAGCGGAACACGCAGGTACGCCCCGCGCCCTCCGAAAGCGGGGCGACCGCGAGTAACGGCCCCGAATTCCCGAGCGCGGCGATGTGCCGGGGCTGAACCCCTCATCGCGGCCTGGGGTTGGGGCCGGGGCCGGGACCGGAGCCGGGGCCGGGCCCGGGGCCGGGGCTGCTTTTCCGTCCGGACGGAGTTGCGTTCGCGGGGAGGAGTGGGAGAAGGTTCCCGCGGGCCTGCAGGGTTGTCTGGCTCTGGGTTTTGCACTTTTGCCAGGCAGGACAGAGGTCGCAGCTTCAGGGAGAAGTGGAGGCGCGTGGAGGGAGAGGCCGAGAGCTGCAGCTGCAAGGAAGGAAGTGTGTGTGTGTGTGTGTGTGTGTGTGTGTGTGTGTGTGTGTGGTGGGGGGTGGGGGAGCGGGGCCGGGCTCTGTTTTGACCTTGCTCACACAGTTATACAGGCTTTCGTGTTTGCGGGCTGCCGTGGGCTCAGGGACAGTGTTCTATGCTCTCGATGACCCCAGCACCCATGACGGTGACGGATACTTAGTACGCACAGCATTTGAAGGACTAAAGGAAGGAATTTTACCTCCATGATTTCATTTGCATCGGGAAAACATGGAGCCCAGCATTTGAGAGGTGGAAGCGACATTAGGGATTACTTCATGCGTGTTTTCACACGTGTTCTTTGAGAGCCTGCATGTGCCAGGCACTGTGCTGGGAGGAGGCGTACAAATACCAGTGAAGCCAGAACTCTGACGTGGAGAAGCTCAAAGTCTCATCTGGGAGACAAGATAGACAAACAGACGATTATTTATTCCATTGTGGGGAGGGCTCTTATATAGTTATATAGGTATCTGTACGGTGTAAAGGGAGAGGCCGGCTTTGCCTGACAGGCTTCCCAAAGCAGGTGACATCTGATTCAGACCCTCAAAGAAGAGTAGGATCTCACCCAGTGGTGGTGGGTGAGGCATTCCTGGCCGGTACCCAGAGTCTTAAGTGTGTATGTGTTCCCCCACGTCCCGCGTGGTTCAGGGTTCAGGATCTGGAAGAGGAGCTGCACACAAATGAAAGAGAAGAGACAAGAGATACTTTGGAAATATTGGGGGGCCAGGCGGGCAAGTCCAACTCAAGGGGAAGGACTTCCACTGGTGCCCAGGCCTCGCCAGCCTTTTATTCAACTTTGGTTACACATAAAGCCCTTAGTCAGGCAGGCAATTGCGGTAGCAATTTACAGACTATCTTAAAGGTCAGTAAATATTAGAAGGATTTACTCTGAGACTATTTGGTCAGGAAATAGCTTGAGCCCCCATTGTCAGGACTAGACAATCGGTGCATAACTCAGGCCCTTGCCATGGGTTCAAGGTTCACCAGCGTTCTGGGATCCTTGTTTGCACTTCTCTGCTAGTGAAGACAATGGGCGGCTTCCCACACTTAAGGGGCATCTTTGAGGAGGTTGGATTACATGAGAGCACATCTGTTCTGAGTCTCCTTTTATCAACTTGGCCCAGAGAGTCTAAGGGACTTGCCCAGTTCTGGTGGTGGCTGGTGAATGGTAGAGAGAGGACTAGAGTTGAGCTTTCCCTGGCTCTTGCCTAGTGCTCTTTTCCAAAGCTGGGTTACTAGTCCTGAAATGGGGTATTCATGCTGAGTGCACATGGATTGCTTTATCGTTACTTCCCAGTTTGTGAGAAGGCTGCCATTCTCCTCTAAGGGCCTGCATAATCTCTCTTCTCATCCTGGCCTTTATTGTATGCCAGTAGCTAGTTCAGTTTTGTTTTTTTTTAAATTTATCTCGATTGTTGGAAGTATTACAGATGTCTCCCTCCCCCCCCATTGACCTCC